CCACAATTAATTGTAAATATTAATTTTGACATGTCTACGTATATCATAAAGCGCTCAATTTTTCCCTTATGGCAACATGAAAGTTATCGACGATTGTATCGGTCGAGTATCTGTATCGTTCAGTCGTGTAGGTATCGTAAAAAAGCCAACAATATGCATTCCTAAACAGGACACATAGGGCAATAACTGAGAATCAGTTATTCCATATTCAGTTATGTTGATATTGTACAGGAGACTGTTCCAATATGTTGCTAACGTTACAGTAAAACTACTATTGCATACTTAGATCGCTTTCTTAGTTGTTTTGCTAACATTAATAATTACCTTAAATAATCTCTGCGTAGCGTCTTCGTTACTAAACACACAAATAGTACTCTGCTGCATGTAGCATCATGCTAACAACTTAGCTCTTTATTTCCACAACAAAAGCTTTCTTCCTCTGCTGTCCTGCTCAGTCATTTCTCTCTCAAATGTCCCCGTAAAGACACGCATAAAACAAAGCGTATGTTAGCAGTTCCAGGGTTCATCCTGAAGACGGAGAAATATACATAGCACAACTGAGCCAAGAACAAACATCAGGGAAACCTATAATGTTCCTGGTGTTGTTCATTTCTTATCCAATCAGAGCAGTCTATGCTGCAGAATCAGCATGAGGCGGAATACAGTATGTTAACATTTTCTAGTACTGTATTGACTCGAATGTAAGACGATCCCTCTTTTTCAAAAATAATCCATGATAATCCATGATATGGCGTTTCATCACGGCAGTATTTAGTTTAGACAGTAGCTGCCAGGTCCCGCATGAGCTCAGCCCCATGAATCCACCATGTGTTGTGTATGTTGTGTTTCTCCAGAAGGCCAGTGGTAGTGGCTCCATGTTTCCCACCATCATGTTGACGGGTCTACCAGACGGATTCTACAAATACGAGGAAGTGGCAAGGTTGTTCCTGAGCTATTTCCCCCAACAGGACCTGGACTCCCTGTACTACAACGTGCTGATCTTACCGCTGCAGAAGAGGGTAAGGGGAAGACCAAAAGTCTAATCTGTCTAAACTTCATTTATTTATTTATTCGTTTATTTGGCTATTACTGAACACTTAATACATGAAATGTGCCAAGTGTAAATATGCCAGATTTAGCTTTGAGCTGCTTTCCATCCGCAGTCCCTCACATAAAACATTAAGACAATTACAAACCATAGCAGTACAAATACATAAAATGCAAGTGTAAGAGTAGAATACCGAAGTATTTATGACATGGCAATACAATATAGAGCACACGATCGCACGTCTGTTTGTTTCTCAACCATTGTTTGAGTTAAACTAGAAACAATGCAACGAAAGGTTCTATGATTGGTGGAGAAAAAGGTGTAAAAAGTACCTTGATGAATAAGAGTAGAAACACTATGGTTTAAAATATTCCATTGAACTGAAAACATGACTTAAGGAACGGAGTATTCGTCATCTTGCTGCTAGATAGTTTCTGACTGGAGAGTTGGCGCCACCTACCGCTTATCTTAATGAAACAAAACCTAATAAAAGCATAAGAGAGTGGAAGAAAAACATCACATTTCTCCTTCGCAGATTACCTCTCGATTCGATTAAAATTGAGATCTGTTGTTCTCTTCACCTCTAGGCCTTTGTGTTATTCGCTGACTGGACGATGTGCTGCAAATTTGCTCAAAGTCACATCTCAAAACCAGTCATGTTCGGATGCCACACAATCAACATTCACTTCGTCTTGGAACCAATACTTCCTGCATCCAGTGAGGTACGGACTCTTGGGACAAAACACACTGCGACACCAGGGCGGGATAACAATCTGACTTGTTGTTTTTTTGTTGTTGCAGGAAATGATGTACACGACTATGATGAAGTTAAGCGACGGTGTAAGTCTTTAACAACACGCATGTCAATCTTTTGTCGAGTGTTTCTTCTCCTGCTCATTAACACCACCTTTTTCTGCTTCTTCAGAGAGTTCCAAAGCCAGAGTTTCTGCAGGAGCGCTTGTTGCGTGTGCAGTTTCGCGATTGCCAACGAGTCGTCATCACCGCGGTTTTGGATCTCATTGTCTCCGCTGCGCCATACGTCAACTTCCTGACGCTGGCCAACAGGGTACAGGAACACACACATCTGCACTTTTCACATTTCATTGTTGCAAACACTGCCATGTGTCGTCAGACCTTAAGTCGTCTTTACAAGTGTTCAATTTAGCTCCCTTGGAATCTATTAAAAAGCTTAAAAATGCATTAGATCTCTCAGTTTTTTGGTTTGGTTCAGTCTTTCAATTAAAGAAATATATATTCTGTGATCAATCATGATTTATCACAAGTTTAAAATACTAGAATGAACTTGTATTTTAGGGGGAGATTAAACAAATACACATGCCGTGCTGTAATAAAGAAATGCATGACAAACTGGCAAGACAAATCAGAGGGTTTTTAACTTTTTAAATTTCTGAATTACTGTGATGAAGTCCAGCAAGTTTCCGACACTTAGCTTAAGATAAGATAAACTTCATTGATCCTAAAATGTGTTCGTTACAGCAGCATGTTAAAAGAAAGGCATTGCACTTAGTTTGAAAAAAGTAATCAAACGTAAAATATGAACGTCTCAAAAATAAAAATGGAACTAAAAATTAAACTATATATATATTTATATATGGTATAAGTTCACCGTGAAAGACGACAACATAAAGCATCAACAAAGCTGCTTTAATGGAGCGGTAGTATTCATATTGTGAGATTAAGAGTGTGTGTTTAGAGATTGTGTGATATGTTTCTGTAATTGATCTTCTCCCCTCCTCTGTGTCCATAATCTCTTCTTCAGATGTACATTGAGATGGCCGACTCCAGTGGTGTTACTAAAGTGTTTGAGGAGCTCCAAGCTATCCCGCCAGTCGCACATTGGTAAGCAATTAAAATGTAGGAGCGTAGAATTAAATTGTATTTTGTACGTGTTAATGTATTTTTATTCCCTGATTCCTTTCACTGACAATAACCTTTTGTTTCTCTCTTTAGGGATCAAGTTCAAAGTATTGAATCGTGAGTATATCTCTTCTTTGAATACTTTAAATGTGTTAAAAACAACCTTAACTTATTGGGCTTTAAAGGAGATTACTGACCAATGACTTCAGGGTCACTGAAAGATAACTTATTTTGAAAGAAAATCCCTCCTGTTGTAATGTAACATATACTTTGTTGATCCCAAATTGGGAAATGCTTTTGTTACACTAGCATGTTTAAACAAAGGCATTGCACATCATTTAAAAAATATAGTAGAAAATATACAAATGTAAAAAATCTCAAAATAGAAAATTAAGCGGCACTAAAAAGTGAAATATATATATAGATATATATATAAGTTGAACGTGAAAGACAAATATCTGTCAAACTATATGAAGGGCAAAATTACAGCTAACAGAATGTAAAAGTAGGAGTGTGTGAGGAATGTCATATTAATTGAGGCCCTGGCCACACGGAGACGAAGCGATTCGTATCCGCTATAGTTTTCTATCTTATAGACGGTTCGTCCACACGAGGCCAACAGGGAAACGTGGATAACGATAACGGGTCCCAAGGTGGGTAGATCTATGGACGCAACGCTCCGTGGGGCCAAACGGCTCTGTGTATACGCCCTACACGGTCATTTCCTGATAACGATCGCGCCATAGCCCCACCTCTCCCCACCTCTGCTGCTCACTCCCGTCGCCATTCATTCTACTGGGCCGAGAGTGGGAGCTCCGGGGGCGGGGCTTAAGGGGCGCATGCTCTGTGAGCGCACATACGGGTTCTTCTGCTCTGGCAGCCAGGCATGATGGGTAATCTGTGACGTTTCGCTCTCTCAAAAGTTGGGCCATTTTGTCCTCATGCGCCAATGAGCAGCTCTCATAGGAATGAACGAGACCCCGCCTCCCACGCTGTATCCAGTTCTTATTATTCATCCATGGTTTTGCCAACAACAACAATGGCGTATCACAGGGTTGCGTTCATGCTCCAGATGCTACTGACCATGCTACAGATCAGGGTTTCCGTTAGCCGGTAATTACCGGTTTTTAGCTGGTAAAATTGAATAAAAACCGGTAAATTCAAAACCTGCCGGTCAAAATGTCCGATGCTCCGATCGATTGGCCA